CATGACCAATCCATGTGTACCAGTGGGGGGTATGTGTGTGCAGATCCAGCAATCTGTTACGTTCAAAAGCTTAACCCATGCTTGCATATTCTGTATATGGGTGTTGGAGCTTCAAATTCCTAAGAGGGACTGGGAAATTCGGGACCACCTTGGCCTTCTATTTTACTGGGAAAGACGGGGAATGATGTTTGTAACTCCCCAGAGTTTAGGCACAGATTTAGGATCCCCAGAATCAGAAGGAGGTGGCTGTTGTGCCAAGATATGATCAACCGAAAATGGCAGAACCCCCTCCTGATGTCTGGTTTCTCCCGGAGACAGCATATCAGATGCCTTACCTTGGGTTTTATCGTGCAAAGTACCCCATTTAGGTTCAACCTCAGCGTTATGGGAAACATCTGGTTGAAGTCCTGGAACTATCTTTCCAAGGTGAGATACACATGATGGGGTCTATGGGTTTTTCTGGCCAGCACCTGGACTCTCCCGACTATGAGACCTCCTCCTCCGAGACATAGTGGGAGGCCTCAATTGTGGCAAAGTATCAAGGGAGTCCATGACTGGAGGGTCTGTGTTTTTTGCCATGTCACATACCTTAACCATGGCCAGAACCTGACCACCCCTTCCATAACCCCCCCATAAGGGTAGATTAGGCTCCACAAAAAGAAAGAAAAAAAGCAAGCAAGCAAGCAAGCAAGCAAGCAAGCAAGCATGGAGTAGAGAAAGAAAAAGACAGAGCAATAAAAAAGAAAATATGAACAACCCAAAGAGAAAACTAGATGCCAGCCAAGACACAGAGGAGCGATGCCTGCGGTGCAAGCAAGCAGGAGGCCGGTGAGAGAAAACCGCCCATGTGGAAGCCCAGGAGGCACAGGTATCACAACGAACAAAACGTCCCGGCATACAGGTCAGTGCTGGTCCACAAAAAGAAGCTCAGTCCAAGGTCTTCCTCAGCACGCAGTCCAAGCAACTTGGTCCTCAGCGTCAGAAGGTGGCGAAGAAGAGCGAAGGTGAGTGTGATAAATCCAAGTACAAATTCCAGCAACTTTGACCGCTGTGTGGGTAGTGAGAAGAACAATGAAGGGTCCTTTCCAGCGTTCAGCTAAAGGGCCAGAATCAGTCCAGGACTTGACAAGCACCCAATCATAAGAAAGGAAAGGTTGGAGTAGATGATCCAATCCCGGATGATGGAGGGCCTGAACAGCTTGAGAAATGGAAGAAACATTATTAGCAAGAGAGTGTATATATTCCCTGAGGGCCTGGTCTCCAAAAACAGGGAGGAAAGTGGATAAGAAAGAATGATAAAGAAAGGGCCGACCATACATGATCTCAAAGGGGGACAGGCCAAGAGGTTGCTTGGGGTCGGTTCTCACATGCAAAAGAGTGAAGGGTAGTGCTTGGATCCAGGTAAGATGTCTCCTGAGCAAGCTTAGCAAGATGATGTTTAAGAACGCCATTAGCCTTCTCCACACATGCTGAGGATTGGGGCCTGTAGGCCAAATGAAGCTGCCAATCAATACCCAGGGCCCGTGACACCTGCTGGGTAATATTAGAGACAAAGTGGGGCCCATTGTCAGAGCCAATGCCTTGGTATGGAAAGCAAAAACGTGGGATAATTTCCTTTAGAAGGGCCTTGACCACTTCATGTGCCTTGTTAGTACAACAAGGAAAAACCTCAACCCATGCAGAGAAAGCATCTACAAAAACAAGCAAGTATCGAAAACCCTCTTTCCTTAGCAACTCAGTAAAATCAACCTCCCAAAAACTAGCAGGAGCATGGCCAGCCCTAAGCCTCCCCAAGGGAAACTTAGTCCTCATAGAATTATTATGTTGACAAACGATACATTGCTTGATTGTTGTGAGGGCCTTGTCATATATCCCAGGACAAATATAGTCCTTTATAAGAAATTCAGCCATGGCCTTATAACCCCAATGAGTGCTGGCATGCAATTCCCATAAGAGGGCCCATAATTCATGATCTGGGAGAAGGCATTTCCCATCCTTCTCCAGCCATTGTCCTTGATAAACAGCATTCATTTTATAAGCTCTGTGCCTATCCTGCGAAGTGTATATTGGAGCCGGCACAGGCAGAAGTGAAGATACAAGTGCACCCATATACCAAGGGGACAGGGACCCTGATGCGGCAGACTTTGCGGTGTGGTTGGCCAAGGCATTTCTCTTTCCGTATTTAGTATCATCCTTACCATGGGCCCTCACATGCATGATAGCTACCTTACGTGGGAGCAAAATAGCATCCAGCAGCCTCAAAATATCCTGTCCATATTTTACAGGGGTGCCTTGAGCGGTGAGCAAACCACGTTCTTTCCACAAGACCCCATGTACATGTAGAACATTAAAAGCAAATTTACTGTCTGTAAAGATATTAACAACTGCACCCTCTGATAATTCCAAGGCCCTTGTCAAGGCAATGAGTTCAGCTTTCTGAGCTGAGGTACCTGCAGGGAGAGCTGCTGCTTCCACTACCTGATCCAATGTGACCACAGCATAGCCAGCTAGCCTTTCTCCCTGTCTCATAAAACTGCTGCCGTCTGTATACAGGTCCCTGTCCGCTCCCTTTAATGGCTGGTCAGTTAAATCCAGCTGGCCAGAAAATACTTCTGTAATAGTCTGCACACAATCATGATTACTATCCTGTTCCAGGGGGAAAAGTCACGATACGTCACGTGACATCACGTGACATCGCAAGTTTGACATGCCTGATTTAACAGCTAAACAGCTTATGTAAAAATGTAATGTGGATGATGTAATAATAAGAATGACTCAGCAGGTGTGTGTATCCCTTTAAGAGTCTGAGTATAAAAGGGAAGTTTTTTTGCTGGAGTCTCTCTCTCTCATCCGTTTGACTGTTGTAACTCCTGTGTATTGGAGTTTGCTTTTTCACCACGTGTATGTATTTTATTTCTAGTGTGTATTTGTAGACAGTGTAATATAAACCACATTTAATACAAACCACTGTGTACTGCATTTACTCCTGGGTTACTTCAGCACAATAAGACTGTGCATGCTCTGACAACATCTATCTTTTCTTGTAATTTAAATACAGTATTATATGCACAAAAATACAGTATTATCTGCATAATTATAGAATGATAGGGAACAGGTGTTGGCTGGAGGAAGTTTATTGCATCATTTTTTTCAGGCATTTTAGAAATAATGAACTCTCTTTGAATGTGATTGTCAAGTCACTTGCTAACCAGAAAGTTAGGTGATACTTTGTTAAATTATATGCTAAAATCAGGATATATATTGCCTATAGCTTTCCATAATCTTTGAAGGAAATCATCCAATTATACAACACAGTTTGACAAGAGGTATTCTTGACATTTTGGATTTGGAGCAATTGTTATCCTACCAATGCCTGGCAACCATACATACCTTCACTTCAAGAAGGCCGCACAGGGAACAACCATACTTCCCTTAAACAAGAGTTCCAAAACTGGGGCTCTGATAAGGCTTTACTTTTAGATATCCTACTAACTGGTAAGACTGTGAATAGGTACTCTCAACTGCATTCAGCTTGCTAGGTGGAATGCGTATTAGGCAATATTTTGAGCAGTTAGTTCCTAAATTGTTTAGAAATCTAGCTTTATAGACTAATATTACTACTGCAGATAGAGCCAGGTAGTTCATGGGCAACAAATGCTATGCCCTTGTGACCACAACAATTAGGGCCTGGATTCTACAAATTCCACATTATTTTCAGATGTAATCCACAAAGAATGTACTGTAGTAACACATGTGCCAGCCCAACAATGTATATGAGATTAAGAAATCAAGGTCAGAATTGCTTTTATTGTAATGGCTATATTAACAAAACTTTGCAAGTTTGAAAATGCTTTACTTTCTCTTTATCTTCATCCGAACTAGGGAGAGGCCTCTATGAGACATTTACTCAAACCAATTTCCTGGATTGGACTCAAGTCCCTCTTAATTGACTGTTGCTTGCTGGTTGACTCTTCCTTTTTTCCTTCAAGACTTTTCCCAATTCTGTTGACAACATGACAATCATCCAGGAATGAGCATTATTAGTATTCACTTAGGCTTGGTTATTCCAGTTCCAGAATAGCACCAGCTGAAACTGACCACAGATGTTCCTTCCAAACTGTTCTTTTAGTAATAGACTGAAATCAAAGGGAGAGCCCAAACTAACCTAAATAACCAGCTGTGCATGGAATCGCCATTTTATTTGAATTCAGTTTCACTTTATTGTCCTTCATCATTTCCTCCAGAGGACTACCAATTACCTGCACAGCCCCACTTGATGAAGGTGGAAAAAAGGAGATATTCTCATTCAATTCCAAATTTCTTGATAACTGCGGCAAGAGCTTAATACAGATATTGAACAATAAGGGAGAAAGAACTGAGCCCTTTTAGATTGTGCCGTGTAGCTGAACAAAAATCTCTCAAAATCACTCTTTGGTGGAGATCCTACAGATATAATGGAACAACCAAACACACCTAAATCATTAAACTGCTGCAGTAATATTACATTGTGACCAATAATGTCAAAGTCCTTGGAAAGTTCAAGCAGAACCATAATGTAGAAGTCACCAGGTCTCATGGTAAAGGTCAACCATCAGGGCAACCAAGATTTCTTTAATATTATATTCAGGCCTGAAGCCAGACTCAAACAGATTTAGATAATTAGCTTTTTCCAAACTGGATGCCACCATTCTAATACTTTGCCAAGGCATTAAAGACTAACAGAAATGAGCATTTCAAGATGAATGCAAAATGATATATGATCTAGCCTACCACAAACTACAACAATTCAAACTAAATGTTTGAAAATGTTTGGAAATAATATATCCCATAAAATTACTGTTCATGTAACACTCAGTAGATCCCAAATACATCTCTGTAATCATACAATTTCTCCTAAGAATCTGATTTGTAATTGAAACAGATTTAATTCTTGCCCAGTATGCAACCACTGAAGTTGTCCAATATACATGAATTAATAATACATCTCAAAGCCTGCTTACCATTCTGGCATCCCACAAAGATAAAGTCTTGTCTGCAGAGCTGGTGAGAATAATATTGGAGAAAGGAAAGAACTCAATGCTGTTTACTGAATCCTTGTGGCCACGCAAGGTATACCTGCATCGTTCACTGTAAAATAATACAATTACATATCTTGAGCAATTGTGAAATAAATTAACAAGATCAAAGGACAATATGAGTTGGCATCAACAAAACTCAAATGGACAATAAAATTTCCCCCAAATATTTGTATCCTTTTTCAGAAATTCAATTATTTATTGAATGTTAGAAATGTTACAGTTAAAGGTTCTTGAAAGATATTACATATTAATAATATACTAGCTAATACATATGTAGATGATAAACTTGATATAAACTATGTTCTTAGAAATGTAAAGTATGAAAATTAAAAGCAAATTAAAAACAAACAAGCATGGCAAGGAAACAAACCAAGAGAAAGGCGCATAAGCAGACAAAAATTAAAACAAAGACAAAAAGAAAATACAGAAAAAACCAATGAATGTACTAAACCATGGGTGTCAAACTTGCCATGTCACGTCATGTGTCGAAACTCTTTTTGCATTGCCGGCAATGGGGTAGGCGCAGCTTCGATATGATGAAACCGGCCTGTGGGCCAGCAGTTTGACACCCCTGTACTAAACTATTCAAATTTCTAAGCTCTATATTGTTCTATAGTTTTAAATTAGGAATCATATTGTTTGATTTTGTCTCTTCTTTGGTAGAGAGAGAGCATTCAAAGGCTGAGATTAATTAATTTTTCTACGTAGGCATCCTTCCAGGAATGCATAATTGCAGTCCAAGAACATCTAATATCTAACTAATAAGGAAACAGCAGTGCACTAAGGTTCCTTCCATATTACACCTCTAATACAGAAGGATGACAGCCAACCTTTTCTAAACATTATTGCAGGAATTCAATACTCCCCAAATATTTTTAATTTATCCAATTTTTAAAATCATATGATATACATCTAACAATCCTGAAAACAATCCTGAAATCTTTAAAAATGGAAACGGAAAGGTTCTGTTTCCTCTTATATGCACTATGACACACTCTGCTTACTGTCATCTCTGCTCACTGAAACAAATCAAAACTTCTGCCCCAGTACTGGACTGAGGTTTATGATTGGCTTCTATTATTTGGGGTCAGCAAACTCTTTAAAGGGACAGAGCCTGCCCTTCTCAGTTTCTGCAAGCACAGTTGGCAGATTTTGCAGGCCAAAGAGTATGGAAGCCATTGGATTGCCCTGTTTTGCCAGCAAGAAGGCCACTCTTGCCCAGGACACCCTACTCCCACCCTCATCCCAGGAACTTGGATGAGGCTCAGGCCTGGTGATTTGCTACCTGCCTACCTGTCTTCTGCTCTAATAAACAATCTATCTTAATTACAACAGCTACTTCCAATTGAGCAACCAGGTTTTTTCTTGATATACTTTAATGTGTAATCTTAAATAATGTTAAAATAAATGTCGAAAGGAGCATGACGAATAACAACAACAACAATAATAGCTCTAGAAAAAATATACAGGTAGTCTTCGACTTACAACCAGTTGTTTAGTAACCATTTGATTCAGCCTTCCATCCTTCCAAGGTCAGTAAAATGAAGACCTAAGTTGTTTGGGGCCATAGGCTGACTCTGTAAACTGCTTAGAGAGGGCTGTAAAGCACTGTGAAGCGGTATATAGGTCTAAGTGCTACTGCTGTTGCTATTTTTATGTTCCTTTTAATCTACTTGAAGATAAAACTTCAAAGTTTTGTGAGATGTAACAAAATTCTGCTTAACGGTTTGCCAAATAGAACTCTATTACAAAAATCATAGGAAGACAAAAATCAATAGTCCTTTCTTTTATTATCATATATTAATGGCTTTTATATTCATTTTACAAAATGTTATGCATTTTGTTACAACTAAAGCAATGTAATAAATCTTGGATATTGAACTGTGACCACAATAGAGTTTATTGATTAGAATAGTGTATTTAGCAAATGAAGGGAAAGCAAAAAATATACATCTTCACAGTTGGAAATATAGTGTGATGCAGATTTACAATCTTGGATTGCCAGCATGCATTCACAATGTCACCACACCATGTGGAAGAAACCTTCTATAATTTTACTAAAAATCCTTATATGAATAGACATGTTAAAGCAACTGAAAATATTTGAGGGGCTATCACAGAGAGGAGGGGAATAAAACTATGATTCAAAGCATCTGAGGGCAAGGCAAGAAATAATGGATATAAATTTATTATAGAGAGATGCAACCTAAAATTAAAGAGAAACTTCCTGATAGTGAGAACAATTAATCAGTGGAACAGCTTACCTCCAGATCCATCACTGGAGGCTTTTAAGAAGAGACTGGGCTTCTGGTTTGCGGACGCAGCTGCCATGGACATCTGGAAGGCGAGCTCCGTCTTCCGCGTCCAGTTTCGCTTCGCTGGGGGACCTTGGAAAGGGTCGAAAGTCGCCCTGTAGGGGCGACCAGCGAGGAGGAGATCCCTGCTTGATCGCGGGAGGGCAGTAGCCTTTCCACTCGATCTGGGGTAGCCCTCCAAGCCAGTGGACGAAAGACCGGCCAAAACAATATGGCTCGTTACTAGGCTGCAGACAGCCGAAGTCACACTTAACACCAGGCAATTATAAAGCAGCGCGGACAAAACTGGGTGAGATCTACCTCTCTTAAATCCTAACTATTTTTTTTACCTGCATAAGCTGCTTAAAGTACTTTCCCTCCTGTGGAGAGGGAAGGGAGATTTTATCTCTCCCTGTAGAACAGCGGTGACTGACTATCCAGGGGAGTTTAAAACGTTGCAAGAATAACTTGATCCTAATAGGAATTTTATTTTTTAAAGTTTGCGGACTAAAAGATTTTCTACTCTTACTGAAGATCTGGTTTTTACTTATAAAAAAGAAGCAAAACTGAAAAGGTTATAAAAACTTTGGATTTAAAAGAAAACTTTAAATGGTAGGGGCAACATCTTGTGGCTAAACCTGATATTACAATTTGCTATTGCTTAAAAGAGACTTGGCCAGCAGCCCAGATAATAGATAAGACCTATGAAACCTTGAGACATCAGCTGTGAGAAGCCCAGCTATGTTCCATACTCAGTGACAAAACATTTTTTCTGTATTCTTTGATTGTAAAGCTTTTAACCTAATACACTACTAAGAGAATACGGATAAAGATCAGGAACAGATTCTCTTTATATTGAAAGCAATTCATCAAACTATTCTTACAGCTACTGATGAAATAAGAGGTTACAGAAAAGAGCAAGAAGTCGGCCCAGAGATACGAACTCAAACTTTGATTACAACTAAAAAATCAACTGCACAGAATATAACAGAAAAAGTGGAACAATTAAATATTATGACAGAAGACTCAACTGATCAACAAATACAGTCAATGGAAAATCCAGAAAAGGGACTGACAATTTGGAAAAGGGAAAAGACTTTCTACATAAATCAGAAGAAACCTGAGGATCAAGAAGAAGAACAGATCGAAGAGAAGATAAACAGTTAAGGACAACTATGTTGAGATGGAAAAATAGAGAGACGATTTGTTAGTCCTCTCAAAAAAATGGCGACCGGATGGTTTTTTTCTACATCAAACAACATACATAACAGCACAGGGAGATTTATTTGATGACTCAAAAGCACAGACATGAAAGATGATTTGGCAAAGAAAGAAAGCTAGAATAAGACTGAAGAAATTTGGAGTTTTGACTTGTTAGTGAGAATTAAAATAGAATATACTCAAATAGATAAGATGTGTACTTTGAATACTAGATATTGTTATGAGTGAAGATAAAGAAAACTTTGGTCATTTAAAACTTGGAAGTATAAATATTAACAGTTAAATTTGAACATTGATTTGCTTATAAAGGTTAAATGTAAAGGTAATTAAGATATATAAGCTAAAAATTTATCGATGAATGTAATAAATATGTTCTTATTTAGCAGCAATAATAAAAATTACTAGCTTAAATATGAGATAATAGATATTAAGAGAAAAAGAGAGGAAGTATTAAATGTTGAAATAACAGAAATTTTGGTCACTAAATTTAAGATATTTGGAAATTACCAGAAAATAAGAATATTATATTGTATTATTAATTGGTTGATGTAAGATGGTGAGAATTCAAATAGATAAGACGTGTATTCTGAACATTAGATCTTGTGATGAATTGTGATAAAGGGAATTGGGATTATTTAAAACTTGGAAATTATAAATATTAAACTTTAAATCTAAATATTAATGGGAAAGTAAAAATTGGAAAAAACTAACCAGGACGTTGATTGTCTAAAAAAAAATTAATGTTAAAACAACTAGGATATATATAAAGAAAAATTATTGATAAATGTAAGAAAGTTATTTTTATTTAATCGATATAATAAGAATTGTATTAATTTAAATATGAGACAGTAAATACCAAGGGGAAAAGAGAGGAAATATTGAATGTAATAGTTTGAGATCTGTACTAAAAATATTTGTATGTTATTGAATTATTGACAACTCAGCCGCCACGTTGCTTTTCAAATATTTAAATGTAAAACTAGAAAATCAATAAAATTTTCTTTAAAAAAAAGAGAAGAGACTGGACAGCCATTTGTCAGGAATGGTATTGGTACAGGTTCTCCTGCTTGAGCAGGGGGTTGGACTAGAACACTTCCGTTATTATGTGTACTGTATATAGTGCTGGATGATGGGCTCCTCAGGTCCAATAGGACTCAATATGCTACTAAGGAATAGCTAAGGATCTTTCAGAGTACAAATAGTGTTTATGACATGGCTAGTTTAAAGCCCTCAGGATATCTAGCTGCTCATATTATGATGTAGAAAAAGCAAATCCAAAACTGCAAAGACAGAATTATTATTAGCCATCTCAGGTAGAACAGATAATGTGTAGAGAGTAAGGAAAGTGACCATGACAGAGATATGCAATAGGCAGATTATATTCAGAAACAGTTCAGACAAACATCTCTCTCAGTGAACTATAAGAAGGGGGAGGAAATATAGCACAATCAGACTTGCAATTTCTGTTATTATATGTTTATTCATATAATATGAATAAAAATCATTTTAGCCTTCCTGTGGAGCCTTCTTGGAT